GCAGAAGGCTGGGAAAGTAGAAATCCCAGCTGTGGTAGCTGTGAGCATGTGGATGTCTCCTCCAAATTATTTGGCAAACATTACTGCTTATCATTCAAACAAAGTTTGGGAATCTCTGGTCTAAACCTATTAACCCTGTATACTCATTTTACAATTCACTGCAAATGCCATAATGCCAGTGCAAGACATAATGAAATTTCAGTATCTAATTAGGCAAAAAGACAGATGAGTTATTTAGTAAGCTGTTTTTCACAGTTAATGGACTTAAGCATTTACAATTCTTAAATGCATTCTGAAATAAATACCTTCCAGGCTCCACATCAAAACTTCTGATATCAGATGCATGTCCTTTAATTGGTTTCATGAATTCTTCCACAGTAGGTAAGTCTAGTTAGTGGAATATAAAAAAAACCCCACCACAAATAACTTAGAAAAAGTGCTTGTAAAAAGGACAACATTTTTAAATATTTCATAAATGCATTATTAAAGATATTACTAGTTGGCTCGTTTTACATGTTTGTACAGTACACACCTTCCTTTGAGGCATTTACCTGATTCAATGGTTGACATGTTTTTTGAACAGATGTCATTATTTTGTGGAACCCCTTGCAGGAGGCTCCCTGAGAGTGCTGCTGCAGAACTGGGCAGTTTCTGCTCATCAGTGTCTCCCAAAGACTGCTCAATATGATGGTAAGCTTGGTGTAATGCTTCCATCTCACTGCTGGTTTGTCCATAGGAAGCACCTGTGGAAAATGCAAGCTCATCAGAGGCACTACAGGATTTGCTGTTTTGGGAAACATCCCACTGGAGCTTGTGTTTCAGTTACCTTTCATGTCTCTCCACCCTCCCTACCCCACCTCAGTATTTTATCAGTACTAAAACTACCAGTGTAGTTGTATTTCATAGTTGTGTTCAATGCTGTCAAAGAAGAATTTTAGCTGTGAGGAGATGGTACTTAAGATCAAACTGCAATGTCAAAAGTAAATTTACAATAGCCAAGTATTAAAAGGTATCTCTTTGGCAGAAGCATGGCTTCTTCCTGAAATATTTCCTCCTCTTCTCAAGCCTTGTTACTAAGAGGCAAGGATTCCATGTTCACAGATAACCTGAGAAAAATGTAGATATCAGAGCTGTCTGTTCTACTAAAGCACATTTTTGAGGTTTAGGTTTTGTGTGTGCTTGTTGGTTTTTTTTTAAAGCAACCTTTACCTGCTTCATTCATTTCAATTCCAGTGACTTCTTCAGGCAGGTATTGCTGTCCTGGAGCTACATCTGATGTTTCAACAGCCTTTTGAAGTTCTCTAGTTGACTCTTGTGAATCAAGTAATACCACTAAAACCAAGAAGATAAATGTTAAAAAACCTGAAATTCTCTTAAGTGCACCAAATCTCCATGTACTAAATGTGTAAAGAATGCTATCTAGGTTAGTCTAATGCCATTAATGGTAAACAGATTAACTCTAATTGCTAGCATCAAAATCTGAGTCCTCACTCCAGTAGTACAATGAAAAAAAATAATTAAAAAATTATGATCACTTTGAAGTGCTAACATGCAGATATTTTAAAAACTATTTTAGTCCAACAGACTTTCAGTAGAACACAACAGAATCAGGTGAAAAATAGTAAATAGTAGAAATCCGATAAGAAAGTTTCAAAAAGATACACTTAGTACTCTCCTACTGATCAGATCTTACCTTTAGCCAGCATGCCAGTATTAGCTTCTTCCTAACAAAAATAAAGAAAAAAAAATAATTACTTTTTGAATTTCAGGGAAAAGAAAAATCTGGATGAACTTCAAAAGTTGGTCCAAAACTTCAGAACGGTTCTGAGAACTAAGCACTTCTTTGTGCTCCAAGAACATGCACTTCTCTAAAACTCCACTTAGGCTGCTAAAAGGATCTCAACACCCAGTACTCTATAAACCCTCTCACAAGTGACTGGTCACTAGATGCTGCTCTGCATATATGAAATTACATGTTTGCACCTTCCTGGTTCTCTTGCATTGTAATTTGAGAAAAGAAAATAACACAGTGGTAAGTACATTACACTTCATTCTATTTGTTCTTTTAAAACATTTATTAGAAATACTACTCTAATAAACTTACTTTAAAAGACCTAAAATTCCCCACATTTATCCATTACATGAACACATGGTGCTCTGCAGAGTCCTTTCATAAAAAAAATAATCAGAACACATGCTCCAGGAATCCACCTGATGTGCTCCAGCCACATATGCTCCACATCAAAAGACCTGACTAAACTCACCACCAGTAATACCCCAAAGCTTATATTGTGTAGATTTTGGGTCCTCTGTCCAAACTACTTACCTGTCCAGAACTACTTCCCCCAGCCTGTGTCACTTGCTGGTGTAAACACCACCTTACTATCTCCAAGAGAGGGATTAATTACTGCCCACTCCAAGGCTGAGGCTACAATCTGAGCTCATAATTTATGCACTCCCATTCACAGTTCTTAATTCAAAGGAGAAGTAAGCAGGAAACCCTGCAAAGAACTCAATCCTTTCAGTCATTTATTACAAGAAAGCATATATCCTTAATAGAACAATATAGTCCCTGGACCACTAAGTTCTTTTCTTTCAGACACTACATAATATGTAAAGGTTTACTATATTTACAGTTATACATTACAGAGATTTCACAATTCATGCAAGTTACATGAATAATTGGTAAGTTATACCTGTTCTTGAGGACCTAAGTCAACTCCTGACATGTTTTGATTCTCCTGACTTCCTTCAGTTTTAGAGGCAGGATTAGCATCTGCTTCTTCAAAATCTTCACTGTAGCTGCCTGAAGTGCAAAATAAATATCAAATAGAATGAAGATCCAAGGAAGATAAAGCAGTAAGGAAAAGCTATTTCTTTTCCCCAATCCCTCATCTAAGAACAGCTACTGCCACTATTATGCCTTCCACAAAGGCAACAGAAAGGTTTCAAGATTGGGTGTGGTACTAAAACTACAGTAAAAGTCACACATAATATCTCTAAATTCAAGCAAAGTTTGCCTTATGATCAGATATACTTTACCTCAGTGTCCTTAGGCATATTTGAATTGATCCCTTTTATTCAACCACTTTAACTTACGAGTGAAATGATGCAAATTTCCACCTATCAGACAAAGTACTCTGTCCATACCCCTTGACAACTCCAGCAGTTTTTAGGCTCAGAATCTGTAAATCTGCTTCTTCTGACCTGCTTTGGTGGCACAAGAGCCACTCTGGGTATTACTTTGGTTGGAAAAGACCTTCAGGATCATTGAGTACAACCACTACCCTAACTCTGCCACATCCATCACTAAACCCGGTCCCCTGGCACCAGATCTGTCTTTTTAGATGCCTCCAGGGATGGTGGCTCAACCACCTCCTCAAACAGCTTGGATCACCAAGTCCAACTTGAGAGTAAGCATTATTCAAAAACACAAGTGTGTCAGAGAACGAATCTTACAAGCGAGTCAAATGCTCTTCCTTCAGTTACCTACACCCACCGTTCCACAAGTTCCGATTCCTTGTCCCCCACTCAGCTCCTGTGCTTCCTGGGTTCAGTGTCTGAACAATCTATAATGCTTAAATCTACCAGCATTTCAAAACACTGGTTTATAACATGTTCTTTCTGTGTTTTGTCACCAATGCAACCAACTCACATTCTAACTAATACATGAAAACTACACAGTGAAAAGTCACTCTTTTGGCATTGCCTTTGGTTTTGGATCATGAAAAGTCTGATCACCTGAAAACAGCTTTCTCATACTGTCTTAAGACAGTGCCTATACTATTCCTGCACATGTATTATCCACTATTTTTGTTCCTATTTCATGAAATAGCAGTTTGAGAAAGACTAAATCAAACCACACGCAACACACAGATAGGCCATTCCAGGTATTCCATAGGAACTGTTTTCCTAAAAATCACAAGTGTCAGTTTTAAAAAACTGACCACAACAATCAGGTAATTTCAACTGTTTTGTTAGGAAAATGGCCAAAAAATTATAGGATTTCCACTACAACTATTATGATGTGCTACAGTCTACAGAGTAACCAAGCTTTAAGGGAGAAAGGATTCCTGTGTTAAGGTTTATAAATAAAGCCACTTCATGTCTGGGAAATTGAAGCCTGACATTAGGACCTCTCAAAAGCTCAGTGAAATACACAGATTTGAAAATACCATCTGTTGATTAAATTACAGAAATACACTCTTTACCATATGCTAGCAACTAAGAGCAAAATATAGAGGTGACAAGTGAAAGACAAGCAAAATGAAAAGAACGTAGCATGGAAATCAGGTAAGAGTAACACTGCAGATTACAGAGATTAAGCTCAGGCATGAAAGATGCTAGAAAAATACAGATGACAGTTAAGATACAGGAGTAACTCAAACATGGTCACTTTGTCCTCATTTTTTGATTGATAGTTGGGTTTGTTTTTTTCTTTTCTTTTACGTCACAATATATTAAAAATGAACTTTAAAAAAAACAAACCAAAACAGAAAGCACAAAGTCAAAGGGCAAACCTCTTTAATTCTCTGTCTGAATAAAATCTGCAGTCATAATGCAAAGGCAGCCTAAAAGGCTGATGCAAAAACTAGAGATAAATGAAGATCATTAGTATGAAAATTATTTTAGCTTTCAGATAAGCAAAAGCTTTACCCAAAGTCAAGGTGATACAGGAACAGAAATCAATTGGTTTACGTATTACTCAGAACAAAAAAAGTTCAGTAAGGATGCTGGACTGTACTGTGAATCCAAAACCTATAATGAGCCAAGTTTTCTGACTAGCTCCAAAGACAACACAAAGTACAGAACAGGCTACGAGGCTGTAGTACAGTTTCCTTTTTTCAGACCTCTAAATTACATCCCACTACAAACATAAAGATCCTACACTACCCTCTGACACCCTGCTGTGACATTTTCTGAGGACTCTGCGTTTGAACTGGAGCTTTCAACAGCTTTCATTTCTGTTACTCTGTTCAATGAAGTTCCCACAACTCTTAGTGTACACACTGCAATTAAAAAAAAAAAAAAAAGGAATAATCAAATTATTTATTTAGAAAGATGCTATTACCAGATTTTGCTTCATGGGCAGCTTCTTCTTCTTTTTCATTTTTTTCATTTCTGAGAAACAAAACGAAACGTTTACTCTCTTCATGGACAGTAAATAAGTACATTTTTTTCCTAGCTCCCAATTTTGATACTTCTTACAATTAGCAATAAAATTTAAAATCTGAATGTGTCAAATCATAGGCTATAAAGTCAGATGTCATCAATTATTAAAATATATATATAATTGCAACTATCAGGAGTTAAAATTCTCAATCTAACTCTTAAAATAACTCTTTCTGTATTCCTTCCAACATCTACATTAGCTTCTCAAAGAAATTTTTATCATTATGTTTGCTTCTGTTCTGACCTTCTCATTATGCATTAACATCTCTCCTTTCTTTCCCCTTTTCCTGTAAAATTTTGTCCTTACCTAAAACTCCCCAGAATTTTGACACCCCCCCCCCCCCTTTTCATATTGGAAGTTTCCTTTGCACTCAGAATTTTTAGCAACAGCAGCCAGAATTGCCCCTTCACCTGTTTCTCTCACACATTTGAACTTATTTTCACATAACTGATTATAAATGAATTGCTCTAATCTACAAAGATTTTGTATCTTTCCTCTAGATTCACTTGTACTATCATGTCTAAAGGGACACAGAATCTCTCCTGGTCTACTTCATTAATGATAGATCAACCTGTAACTATTCTTATGCATAGCTGTGCAGCTACGTCCACTCATCACCAAGTCATGTTCTCATCTTATTCCTTTCTTTTATTTATTAAGCTCACTTTTGTCCTTGTCTTCATATAAAAAGCAACCTCCCCCAGAAAAAAAAAACACAACACAAAAACCCAAACAAAAAAAACCCACAGCAAATAAACAAAAAACTGATTGAAATAGATTCTTGTCCCACAAAATCTCATGGCATTCAGACATGCAAGTCACGTGTGTCCACTCATCTAGTCCACAACTTTTCTTCTCTAAATTACCGTACAAATGGTGCTAGTAATGCAGAATCATTGGAATCCAGCTCTTTATTTAATCTTGAATAATCAATAGTAGAGGAAGCTTCTTGTTCAAGTTTGGCAAAGAAGTCCTTCTTTTCTTCTTGTTCTTCCAAGGTATCCAATCCAAGTCCCATGATACTTTGATTAGGCCCAGAAGCTAAAATTGAATCTAAATTTCAAAACAAAGAATAAACTAATTGTGTCTGTGCTGTATGTCCTCATATAATTGTCATACTAGTAACAACTACAGACAAACTAGGAAAATACTACCAGTATCCAATAATCACAAGCTAGTTCTAGGACCCTTCAGCTCACGAGAGGCAGCTGATAGAAGTGAAGAATCCCACTTGCAATGAATTAAGGGAAGCAGTTTGTAATAACAGTTTATTTAGATCTAGCTAACTTCATGAAGTGGCTGCACTTTCAGTTCTCACCATTTTTCTCCAGGCTGTCTATACTTAAGGAGACATTAAGCCCATCACTTGTCTCTAGCTGCATCTTTTCCACATGCACACTCTCATCTGCTTCCCCCGTGAGCTGCGCAGCATCCTGCGTCTTGACAAACCTTCCACTGGCTTCAAGCATTCCTAGGAAAAAAGTTGCAATATTCTTGACTATCACCTAAAAGCTATTTGTATGACAACTTCAGTCTGAAGTGATGACAGTCATGTGAAATGAAAATGAATAAAAGTCATCTTCCAGATCCACCACTTCTAAGACCATGCTGCAACTGCAAAGATACCCAGTCTCACCAATCACATTGATCTAACTTCAGTTTCTAATATTATAGGTAAATCTTGTTTAATCAGTCTATTATGTAATTTTTTTTCCCATTTGTGATATTTGCATCAAAACCTATGTAGTTTAGCATGGGGCAAATATAACAAGTGTAAATATTCACTTACATTACTTACAGAGGACAATCACACACACAAACTCTGTACAGAAATCAACATTTCTTTGTTTTATTTGATCTCCTATCCACAGACCCATTGGCCCAGCAGCTCCTTTTTATTTGTTGCAAATCAAATGCTTTAGGAAAAAAAATAGTAACCAAAGGTTCTTAAAGGTCACTGATGAACACACAGTTGTTCCATTCTGTACATTTTGCAACTACAACATGCAGTTGACTCTCCTTACTGTAATTGAATTGTTATGAGGGTTCAACATCACCTTATCAATTTCATGTGCAAATTCTACTCTCAGACTGCTGCCTTACCAACTTCCTTATGGAAAACTAAAAGCTAAATATTGCAGTATATTACTAGTTAAAAACCAGTACCATGTCCCTTCTGCCTGCCCCTAACACATACAATTCTACTTAAATTCTTTAGAGGTTCTTCTAGAAGAAAGGCTAGCAGAAAAGCTGCTTATTTATTTTGTCCAATGACATAGGAAATGATTTAACAGTTCTAACAGAAGGGAACAGAAACCAGGTCCATCTTTTCCAACATGAACCTCGAGTTGGTAAAATAAACTTGGAATTTTTTGTTCCGTATGGCCAAACTGTTTAGGCTGTATCTGTGTCCTTGTACTGAACATACCAAGAGGGGTGAAGACACTTATGACAGCTCATCTCCTGCTGGCAGGAGAATGCAGGAGATGTGTACAACAGTGGTTCTTCAGGTCAAGAACACTAAACCAGTCTTCCACTGGATGATGAAGTGCTTCAACTTGGGGATGCTACTCTGTCCTGTACCTAGGTCCAACCAAGACCCTTTCAAGAAATGCCACACTTGTCTCTATGACAATGGAGAATCCTCTCCCTTCGGTACTGAAAATGAACCCAGGGTAGGGAGGGTAAGAGGCTGAAAACCTTTTCCTGCCCTTAGAACATGCATTCTGATGACAAGAGCCTCCCTCTCAAGTAGAACAGTTTTGGTTTATTTCTACTGCAATGACAAAGTCCCGTTGCACATTTTACTGGGAGGCTAAGTGTGTAAGATTCTGTGTATTGGAAATGTTTTTCCACATTCCTGTATCTAACTTCAGCTCTGTTCTTGGTACAGAGCTCTGACTGGCTTGCCTTGCACACAACAAATGACAAGAGACATTGACTTAAGGTCAAGCTCCACAGGAACACAAAGTTAATGCCTAAATAAAACTATTTTGCTATTACAAAAGTGTAAACGGAAACCTCAAAGTGCTGAACAAAAGTGAAAAAGTATGAGTAGTCCATCTCTCTGGTAGCTAAATGCAGTAATTTAATTTACCCAGATGGCAATCTATTTTAGTTATCAAAACAGTAAACAGAAACCTGCAGCTGGATCACAAGTTTTTTTGAAGATCTTCAGATTGGCCATAATCTCACCAGCTCTCCAACACCCTGTTTTTTCAATGCAACTATGTCAGCAGAATCAAAGACAAACTGTCACTGCCCTCCCATGTAGGATTTGCAAGAAAGGAGATGTCAATATACTTCAGTAAAAAGACAACTAGAACACTTAACAAAATGTTAGAGAAAAACAATTTCCTAGTTGTTCCTAGTTCCTATGTTGTTTTATTTAAATCATCTCAAACTAAATGAACTTTCTGAACAGACTTACATTGATTTTGAAGGCTTTGTGGGATTTATGTAAGCTAGCTAATATTTTTTTTTTCAGTATTTTGCCCATTCAAACCAGAGTACAGCTTTTCTTAAAAGGCACCTCCCATAATAATCTGAAAATTAAATACTGTTTTGTAGCCATGGAGTTCTGCAACTCAGCCATCCCCAATTCCCAGACACACACTCCAGATTACAGGGGATACTACCATTGCTAATGAAGGCAAGACAATATTTTTTTACCTGCCCTACACAACCTGAACTCCGAGAAAATAATTAAACTTGGAAAAAATATTCCCAAGTCTCTTTTCACTGTGTTTTTTTTGTTATTTGAACAGTCCTACTGATTTCTGTGGGGCTTGCTAGAGTGATTTATTGGTTGGGAAGGGAATGGTATTTGTTACTTTTCATAAAAAATTCTTGAAGCAGCAGTTTTCTTGAACTCCAAATATTTCACTATCCATATCTTGACTGCAATATTTTTTAAGTCTCATGATACACAGGATTATTTTTAAGTCCTCTTACCTGAAATTAATTAACATAAGAACCTGAATTTCTCAGAGAAGTATTTCTAGCCACTACACTTGCAGATAAAAGTTTAAAAAGAGAAACACAAAGGACTGGAACCTACAGTGACAAACATCTATTTACAAAGTACATTCTCTTCTCCGTAGTCTGACAAACACTGTCAGAATTGAGGCTTTTTACCTTTCTAATATCATATAAAAGACATTGAATTTGTTACCCTCAGAATTGTCTGGACTGTCAGAAGTGAGGATTCCTTCTTCTTTGTTTAAGTACAAATCTTTCTTGTCCTTATGAAATTTTTCCAACATTTTGAATTTAGACAAAGCCTTGCTGCGAGATGCACTGGAAGAAGGTACAGGGGGAACTACTTTTAAGTGTACACAAACATTTTTAAGTTTTTATACATAATGGACAGGGAATAAAGAGAAAAGAAAGACGTGAGAATTCAAATTAACACTTCTGAAAAAAAAAAAAAGCAGTTAAGTTTCTTGTAGATTGAATTAGCTGTAATTTTCTAGCTATAACAAAGTTAATGTTAATAAGTTCTAAGAAGAAAACTTTTATTTTTAAAAAAGACAAATTCCTTCTTGTTTCATGTATACCTTGCCTTCAAATACACTGTTGTAGGAGCTCAATATATTATTTGAAAACAAAGAAAACTAGTAAATCTACTTCAACAATAAAAGAAGTTTTGTGCTACAAGTTTTGAAAGAAAGCATCTAGATTGGCTCAAAGAAAAGTGGAAAAATACAGGTACATCATTGTGAATTACTACTGCCTTTGTCACTGTCAGGTACAGGAACTGCTTTTTATTTGCTCAAACACTGGAGAGGACTTATTTAGCAACAAAACCTACCAAATGCCTTCCATTCACATTAGTAGAATTAAGTTTTAGACAACAGTACCTATGCAGAAAGCTGTGCTCTCTCGTGATACTTAGATGACAGTCACACTATGCAATTTATATACCCTAGGCTAGCCAGATGTACTGGACTTCTTGTTCAAATTGTCAGTCTGAAGTGGGCTTCTAAATTGGCTAATTCAGAGAAAAATCTTAGTTCCAGGTCTTTGGAATTTACCCTGACACAAGAGAGAGTATGAGCAGGCTGGGGCATCAGGCCAAATAGTTCTGCTGTCCAGAAAAAGGACTATGGGGATGTGTGACCAGAAGCTAACACAGCACAGAAACATCCAAGATGGGTAAAGGAAGCTGGTAAGTGAATGGCAGGTGCAGTGCAAAAAGAGAAACTCTATGAAATCCATCCTTACAACACTGCACAGGTCCTTTATTCCTTCAGCTGATGTTCAAGTCCTGCAGTAAGATATCACTTCTCTAGATTCATATTCTGTCACATTTACTGGGAAACTGAAAGTGTTGACAGTTTGCCTTTCATTGCAAATAATGCAAATACATGATGTATTTTAAAACACTAATTTGAAATAAACACTGAAGTCCTCTTATTGCTTATATTTCAAATATTAAGCCTAATTAAATAGATTCGGTTTTAGTGTCTCTGTCCCAGATCGAGATGCTTTATAGCTATTCTATGCGAATGAGGGTTATGAAAATAGGGCAGCACAGATGCTCTAGAAAGCAAATATAGGGAGGGAAATTCCTACAGGGTACAAAGCAGATCACCAACATGATCTAAAGACCAAGTGCCAAACATTTCTTTGTCATGGCTCTCCAAAATATTATTGATTTGCTTGAATTTAATACCAAAGCCACATTTGAACTAGTCCATACAAGTTCACTGCTACTGTAATTTATGCAAAAGTATTTAATTATTTATCTCTTAAGTATTCTTTGGAGTTTCTCTTCAGATAAGATAAAAAGTGACTCCATATAAAAGGCTGAATCTGAAGTTATGTTGATCAAAATAATTCTGCAGATTAAACAATTTGGTTTGTCATTATTACACCAACTGTACTGTTTCCATTCCAGGGGAAGCATGCACAGAGCAGCCTACTGGGCTCCCAGCATTGGGAAAATAATCCTATCAACAGAATGTTTATCTGACTGTAGTCTTTGAAATTAAATAAACAGAACAGTGAATATTAATATTTCTGGCTTACATGCAATACCATGCTATCTGTCCTACTACATCACTATAGGTAGTGATATATGATGTAAACACAACTGAGCAAAAAGGTCACATAGTTATTTTTTTCTCTGGAAATAACAAATGAAGTAAGTGGCAGCTTGTGTCCAATAAAAAAACTATGGTCAAACTGACAATTTGCAATGGATTTTCTATAGGACAAGCACTAGTAATACAAGCCTTCTACTGAATAAATTTAACAAAACATATTTAAAAAAATACCAGACTGGGAATCTGAATGGGGACTCTTTTGTTCACAGTTTTCCACAATTTCAGCATGGCTTTCCATCATTTTCTTCTCTTTTCCTGGTTTAACAAATCTTGTTTGAATATCTTGAAAAGTAAGTCAAACAGCAGGAACAGACAAGCAAGCAAGACAGGACAGGAATTCTTATTATCCAATTTCTTTTTATCATTAAAATGACAAAAGCAAGTTGAAAGGACATTAGTTAGGTGTAGGTCTTTAAGCTGTCAAATATGGAAGACAGTATCTTGAATAATAATTTCCACATTTCAGTTTAAAGCTGAAGAACAGAGCCCAAATGTGACTAGAATAACAAGTTATTTTAAAATGTACTTTATACTTCTCAGCCACATGAACAGAAATAGTCTGCACTGTTTATTATAAACCTACAAACCCACGTGAATACAGGCTACTAGTTTAAATCTCTGCTTATTTCCTGGCACTTCTGCAACAAGATGCCTTAGAAAAAAGCAGACAATTTAATGTATAGCATACATTTTGTCTTCCAGTCATCTGTGTTTGTGTTTTTCAAGAAAGCATGATACAGATATTGAAGTTAACTCAAAATGAAAATCTCAATCTGGAAAAAAACGTACCAGCTCAGCACATTACTCCAACTAATTAGCCAGACTTTGTACTCTATTAATATAGCAGTATCTCTAGACAGTGTCGGTCAAACACACCAACTCATAAAGGCAGAGCACATAGTTGTAATGCAGTGCCACACTGTGGGTGGAAGTAACATTTATACATTTACATAACTTTGATTCACTGCAGAAATAACAGCTCAATTACCTGACAGTTAAGTCCTGTCTCCAACCAAACTAGAGGTTCAAGTCTAGAAGGATACACAGGGGTCTCCACAAAATTTCAAAGACTACCAACATGACACATTTTAGAAACTAAATTCAGCTTATTTCCATATTTGTCATAATTGCAAAAATATTATTAATTTTTTTCCACACAACAATTATTTTTCTCTTTAGGACACATTTAGTAACCTTGCAAAAAGCTACAAATCTAAATCATCACTTTTTAAATCATGCTGTGCAATGACTTACACTGCAGTGCTGCTGTGCAGTATTAATACATCTGAGCCCATGCTACACAACATGCACCTGCTGAAGAACATGAGACCTAGCAAAATTGTATTTGACAAAGTAGTTGGCAGCATGCAAGACAAAGAAAGAGACACACAGAGGGGAAAAGGATCAGTCCTAGAAGCCTGTCCACACGCAGACACCTGGCCAGTTGTTTTGCAAGTATATCTACTTGAACTAAAATCATAGCATAGTTTGTAGTATGTACACAGGGGCATAAATACCCCTTTATGTGAGAGATTCCTCATTCTCAGTTACATATAGAAGTTAAACTACTTTTGCAACTGCAGTGGAAAACTCGGTTTATACTGAAGGTGGCCAAGCTCCCCTCTGCAAATGGCTCTCTGGACTCTAGGGTAACTGTCTTATTATTAAGTGTGACTTCAGTTAGCAGAATGGCATTCATCAGATTGCTTCTGTTCTACATGGTCCTTCATCTAACACAGTATGTTAATAAAAGTGCTACCATTTCTGAGTGTCCAGTGTGACAAGCAAAGCCCTTTCCTCATGGTGTGATACAACTAGGAGCTCTGCTTCATATCACAAAGCTATCCTCTTCTTGCCAAGACAGAATAAGGAAAGCTCTCTAGCAAAACATAGATGCCTCTCTGATTGAAGTATTACATTTTAAGTGGAATATGGCATCCAGCACACATCCCACAAGCACGGAATTCTAAGCAGAGTGGTGACAGAGCTGTAGCTGAAATAAAACTAATAATCTGGCTGGCAAAACGGTGCTCAAGGAAGAATTCAGTTCATGGCTTTAGCATATTTGCCCCACATTCTTGTAGTCTCACTTTTATCATGTCCAACTGCCAAGACATGTTGGACCTCATTCAAAAAGCAGTACACACAGATCACTGTCAACTCGCTCTGAAAAAAATCTACCCCCTCATCAAGAGTTTGAATATGAACATGCTAGCTTCTTTTTCAAGTAAATTGATTCCATACTGGCAAAACTGGGCAGGCTCACCTTCTAAACATTTTCCTCCTAAAGGACACAAAACTCTTTTTAAGAGAGACCTTAAAAAGTTTATCAGAAGTCTCTTTTGATTCTATACACCAATAAACTGCAGATCAAGCATGTTTCAGTTCTAATAGATTTACCTCTAGTTAAACTACACAGTTGATAAAATATTCTTAATTTAAAAAATGAAACTGGTTTGGATAAGAACAACTTGATGTAATCACAGTATTTCTTCTGATTCTGCTTTGCATTGCACCAAAGCCATGCAAGCACTGTTCTCTAAAACTTGTAATCACCCTGCCTTTTAAGTACCTATTCCAGTGTTTTTTGGTTTAAGTAGTATGAGAAATATCAGGCCACTTCAGGGGTTGCCTCAAGCATTTCAGAAAAAACACAGAAGAATGCTGACCTTCTAAAGTCACCTGAAAATTTTCTTTGATAGTATGTAGAAAAATGAGGTAATGCTAACCTCTTAATTCTCACCCTTTGCCCAGCCAAGAACACTCTGTCTTTCCATTGTTCAGGAAGCTGGAAGGAAATACTATAAGCAGGTATCATAATATCTAATAACTACCTGGTAGGTAGTTGCACTGCCTGATATGAAATCACTCGTATCCATCTGAGTTTCCCAGCAATATCTTAAAAGGCCAGAAACAGATAAGCAGTCCAGCCACCACCTATTAGGGTTATACCTAAACTGGTGACTTAAGATTTGACTCCTAACTATGGCAACACTGACAGGAAAACTGCAGACTACCAGTGGTATCTTAACCCTGTCATATAAAAAACCAATTGCTGGAATTTTCTGTTAAGCTCCAGTTACAAGTTATACGAATCATGAAAATAAGAAACCAGTTACTACAGGAACAAGAGCCACTCACCCTGTGGAAATTAAATACTCATAGGCTTTACCAGCCAGTAATTAAACAATGAAGAAATGCCAAACTAGAGGTGGAAAGCTTGCAAACAATAATATATGTTCTTCCAGAACTATGTGACTAAGTCAATGCTGAACTAGCAATCATGTCAACACAGCCCTTACTGCTGCTGAAAAGTTTTTCTGTGCTTGCCCAACCTATTACAAACATTGCAATTAGCTTAAAATTACAAAAAATAGTATTTTTTCTCTCCAGTCTGGAAACAGTAATCTACAGAAAGTGTAAGGAACAGGTTGGTTACAAAACACACCTACAGATTTTTCAGCAGAATTTGCAAGTTACATTTTCTAATTATCTTACTATTTATAAGGTGTTTACAAGTTTTCATTACATGTAAGAAAAAGCAGCAGAAAGCTTGCTTACAGCCTGAATACAATTACTTTTTAAAAATACAATTACATTTGAGTTTTATACTTTACAAACTCGCGCTGTAATGTTCTAAAGCACTTGTGTGGGAGTAACTTAATCTGAATCCAGGCCCATATGAAGTATAAGAAAGAACTCGTCTGACCCCCTGTGGTCAAAAAATTGCAAATCTACATTATTTACCACCATCATCCAGATCTTCCTCAGACATCCACCATGGCACTGAATCCTTTTTCTTTGTTTCTTTTTTCCTGGGCTGTCCCAATGTCTCAAGAACGCTGGGTTTTTTCTTTGAATTTCCAAGTGAATCATCTGAAAGAGACTGAGTGAATTGCATAGAAGATTAAAGACAGCTTTTACATTTTCACATTGTTCTACTGTCTTTCAGCCATTCAATTCTAGACTTCTGAGTTCAGATGCCTCTGTACTCCCCACTGCCTGCCTTTTTTTGTATATGCATGACAAAGTTGAGTAACAGACAATAACCATATTCATGTGGCATAATACTGCATATTATAATAACCTCACTGCCAAAGTTTTGCCATGTTAAAAGTTAATTGCTTAGTAGAGGATATTTTTTAATGAACTGCATAATCAGCTCTTTTTTGGTTAGTTACAACATGTAAAAGCCAAAATCCTAACTGCCTCCTTAAGGATGAGTTAGAGCAGCAACAGTTTAGCCTTGGCCTTCTTTTGTACATGAACAATATTATTCATATTCTAAAAATAAGCTTTCACAAACAGCATTCTACCTCCCAGCAAGTCAGATTTCAGAAATTAATTTTATACTTTGTGTTCATGGAAATGAACAGAAATACCAGAGCCATTCCTACCCATCTCTGTGTATTAAGCTTTCATATGTATTACTCATCCATGCCAATTTTGACTGATGGCTTAAATCAACGGAGGAAAAAAAGACTGTAAGCATGTAAACATGAAATCCTACAGATTTCAGTTGCTGAAGAGTAACAGGAAGGAAAAGACCTAGAGATATAAGACAAAAGCACTTTTTTTAATGTGATACAGCTTTTTTTTTTAAACAAACAAACAAACAAACAAACTCTGTTCCTTTCCATTGAAAAAGCTCTTTGTGGCTCACAGCCACAACTAGCTGTTCAAACATTGAACAAGGAAATACATTAATTAAGCTAATGCACTGCAACCTTAGGTGTTATGTATCCTTTGTGGTTCAGCTCAGTAAACATGGGTTTAAGGTGAGTGGCACACTTTTTATTTTTATCTAATTTTTTAGCCATAATTGTTAAAGCTAATTGTTCTAAAGTATCTTAACAGAGTCAATAGAGTTAGTAAAAGCTTAAGGAACAAAGAATTCACATGTGAAATGCACCATATGGGACAATTTCAAAAACTTCCCTTTCGTAACAGTCGTGAATAAGAAAATGCAATAACATAAACAGAACTGTAGAGGCAACAGGATTGTGGGTACTTATTATGTAAAAGACAAGACGATGCTCTATTAAAACAATCCTCTGCAGTCCACTGCCTGATTCCCATTGCACAAAAAGCACTACCATAAAAGCCTATCTTTACTATATATCTAACACTTCAATTTATACAGGCTTAACAAGAACACGCATAAATGAAATGCCTATTATCCAGAACTTCCATTTAAGAATAAAAAAATATTATAAGAAAATACTATTGTTGTTAATATCTCTGACCAATAACATCTTTAAAGCTTACAGTTTCACTTGAGAAAATTAAACGCCTGTCATGCAGTCTCAGAAAGAAAATTTAAGTGATCTGAGCCTTGCACTTTAATAAATAATTTGAATTTGGAATTATGAAACTTCTGGACAACAGGATGTATTGCAATGTCTTTACATTGACTCAGTGGCACAGAACAAAACAACTTTACATTCTTCATAAAAGTCCTATAAACTTCCTTGCATTGCTCCCAACACAAGTGCTACTGCCATTGTCCACAAAGGTCAGACTGCCTCCTGCTAGACTAATGCAAGCCCTGGTATCTCTTGCTCTTTCTTTTATGACTAACAGTAAATTCTATGCTGCAAGCAGCATCTTGCTGATGCTTGTACACCTTAAGAGTAGAATTATAACTAAAGAAACTGAAACTCCCACAGGTTGTTCACAAGTTCTGGAAAATTTCTATGTCATCCATGCCATCTTGTCAACTTCAGAAAGTAAAGTTGCACTAGCTGGGAAAGAAATGCTGACACAACAATACTACTGCATTTTCCCCAACATGTCAGTTGTCTCAACTGTGAAATTTAGAGATTTTTTCCTTCCTTATGGGGTAAGGGATAATTGACCAGAAGCACAAGATCAATATCACTGAATGGTTTGCGTAGAAAGGGACCTTAAAGATCTACTTCCAAACTCCCTGCATGGGAAGGGACACCTGACAGCTTTCTAAATTCAGTGCCTACACCACTTTAGTTTAATCCTCCTATTAGACCTGCATTATCCAACTGTATTTACAGTCTTGCTTTTTTTTCCACTTTAAAGGTTTTAATCACAAACATACATAGAATCCTCCCCCCAGACAAAGGCAGTTTCACTAATTATGTATTATTTAAGAGGCAAAAACATTCTGCTCCTTTCCTTCTCTGAAAGATTTCCTTAAACAGCATTAAGTCTTCCTCAAACAACTAAAACCAGTTTCTGCTATTCCCCTTTACCCCGTCATTATACTCAACACAAGTATCACCCACATAACAATTTCAAACAGTGGAGCACATTGGTTTCTCATCTTGAACATTAAAGATTAAAACATTCTCTAACATTAAAAGGGTGTACACTTTTTATAAAGAATAAAAGCAAAGGGGAGGACATAACAGGAGATGCATGCCTATAAAATAACAGCAGATAATGTCATTGTTTGGGTCTGTATCTAGCTGGCAGAACTTAAAGCAATGCCTATTTTTTAATGACTGGATTGGCAGTTCTAGTCTGAAAGGCTAAAAAAAAAAAATTGAGACAAAATACTAGAATCAATCATATGCAGAGTTTTGTCACATGCACAAAATAAATAAACCTTCTTTCTCTCCCCCCGAGCAACTCCCTTCATAACAACAGTAAGTAAAGGACTTTCGGCAGAAATGCAGAGCCTTTTTTTTTATTCTTACTAAAATTAATAATTTAAGTGAATTCAAGAATGTTACATCATCAAATTAAGGGCTAAAATCTACCTCTAAGTTTGTTTTGAATCTTAATTTTCAGATGGCATTTAGTTTTCCTATGATCATAATTTGGTATTGCTGAGTAAAGCTGCATGTAGTGTGTATCTGTAAAAACACCTCACAAGCTGTATGGTGAGCAAAGAGTTACAGACCTACCTGGGAAAGCCACAATCTTCTTGAAAAAGAACTCTCAGGTTTCTGCAGATCTTTACCACACTGTACAAAGTGTAATTTCCATGGAATTTAGCACCTACAAGTAGTTAAATCATAGCACAGCCTCTACATCCAAAAACCTTTATGAGCATATTTCACGTAACAGAGATGCCACAAATAACCTCTGCCATCATTAGCTACACTTACATAAGTTACCAGCCTGGAGTAAAGGCCTTATGTGTGCAGTGCTCCTATCTTAGGGTTACCACACTGTGTGCCTGAAGGAGTGGAGGGCAAATTCTGAAATTACAGGTCTCTATGCATTGAAAAAAAAGTATCAAGTTAGGACATTTTGACCCAGTCTGCTGTCACCTTCAGTCACAACCCACAGGCTTGCATGATTTTGCCTCTACTCAAAATCAGGAAGCACCATGAGGAACAACAGGAATAAAATCAAAATCTTCTAATCACTGTGACACACTTCTTTTTGTTAGGATTAATATAAGAATTTTTTAATAGAATTCAGCAAAATTGGGTATTGCACAGACAAATTTCTTAAAACATTGCTTGTGCTTAGACACAGGAAAGGTTTTTTATCTCATTTTCAATTATATATCACTTTGAAGCTTCTGCTACTAAACAACCCACAATTAAACTGAAACAAAAACAAAGAAGAAAGGGCTTTTTCTGAAGACACAACCTGGCAGTGACAAAATATTTACTGAATCACAAAACTGTTCTCTGGGTTTCGATCCAGCAAAATAGTATGAATTAAGTTTAGCAAGGAAGTTAATACCTTGCAAAGACCCACACATAAGGCAGCTATGTGAATTATGTGACAAAAGCACAGCTGCATCTTCCGTTTCATATTATTCCATACTCAATTTTCCCCCTGCATTTTAACAGAGAAAAGGGATGTGACCTTGCTGTGAAACATACCTCTTTCAGAAACTCTTCAAACTGCTCATCTAATTCTTCTTTGGAAAATCGATGAGCCATGATCTACAACTGGATGTTACTTTTCAAATGACTGAGTTTAAACGCTGAGATTTAAAATAAAAATAAAGTTAATCAAAAGCATTCTGAGATTAGAGATGGTGTAGTGATTTGCTGCTTTCATAGAGAGCTGTAAGCAAAAAGTATCTTAACAAAGATGCCAAATTTCATTCCTCCCACCCCTAATATAAATTATTTCCTGAACGAGACAATCAATGCAAACATACCTGGATTACTTAAATCCTTCGTTAATCAAGATACTAATTTCCAAACCAATAGCTTTTGGGTTGGAAACCAAACTTTGAGGGATAAGTAAAATATGATTCCTTTCACCATCTTTACATTTTTCTTCAAAAGCCAGCTCTCTTAGCTACCCACAATTAAGCATTTTGTCAGTGATCAAACAAGAACCCTCTTCAGTAATACTTCCCATGCATTTTAAAGGCTTGAATTCCTTTCCATGTTTCTTCTCCAAAACTGAAGACATCTGGCATTATAAATTTTGTTTCATCATCTCTGCTGTGCTTAGGACTTAGTAAACAATAAATACATGAAAGTCTTTTAAGATTAGAGGATGACATTTGGTTTGATCTGCCCTGACACAGAAAGCCACTGGTACTTGTCCCTCTCCCCTTCCCAAAAGTCTGTGTTGACTTCTCAGGTATAAAATATGCCCCACACTCAAAATACTACAAAGATTTTGTATATCACACTGCTCCACACATCTGGCTATCTTCAAAACTGCACATGTATGGCAGCATTAACCCACCCCAGCATCTTCCAGGCAGAGAAGTGCTACACAAACATAAAAGGGCCAAACATTCACCAAAATGCTTTTACCATTAAACAAAATTTACCCCAATATGGAGCCCTCTCAATACACTGTTACCTACCTGGTAAATTGATTTTGACAGGCGAGCTGTGACAACTGCTTCCTGTTTTCACTCCTTATTCATCCAGAGACCACCCGATATTTTGGCTTTAGCAGACAAACAATAAAAAAAGTTATAGCAGGCTGCCCAGACTTTGAATTGAGTAAGATATCCTTACGTAAGCACTTGGACAATATCTCTGAAAACATGGTAAGTAGATTAAGAACGTCACCTCTCATGACACACATAATCCAGTATCCTTTTATAATTTACATCAAAGAACACTGGATGCTAAACACTAGATGCCTGAACAGTTTACAAGCTGTGCCAACTACTTGAGCAAGAGGAAAATACTTAATTTCAGCCTTGCCAGAAAAACAAACTGATTCCTCTGACATTATCTGTACTTCTGTCTGCTTTATAACTACAGCTTTTATAAAGTCTAAGACTTTATAAAGTATAAGACTTTATTTTTCAAAAGGACAACAAATAAGCCGATTTCCCTGACAGCAGATTGCAGACCTGCTTAGCAAAAGCAACAGCCAAACCTTTGGAGCTGAAGGCTCACAAATGACTTTAAGTCGCAACACAAGGAAGGCCCCTGCTGGGATACCCGCCGCTAAGGGTGCAGGAAGCAGCGGGCTGGAGAAGGTGCGGCTCAACCACAGGGACGAAGGGAAGCTCCTGCAGCCTCACACACCTCACGTCAGCTTCTAATCCCCCCCGCGGCAGGGCCTGCGGGGCCGGACCCTCCCCCCC